GTGAGTCTCAGATTCAAGTTCTATCAAATGTCTACAATTACTATCTTCTCCTACACCAGAGCTGCCTGAAAGACAGGAAACCTCATTTTCACAAAAGACCGTTTTCCTTTTTAGAAAGTCTTGCTCCAGGGAAAATCTGGTGGTTTTGTCTAGTAGAAACAAAAACCAGTAGGTACACAAAGTGATAATAATGGATGCCAGCACATGCAAGATTTTCCTAGCAGTCATTCAGAAAACAATGATAAGAACATTATCAAAAGTGGCATATTTTCTCCAAAGAGCTCGAAATGCTTTCACGTTGTTTTCCAAATAGGTTACACTGTTATCTGCACTCTGTCAATGATTCTTCTGTGTTAAAGTGTGGTTCTTCCTCTTATCATTACCAGCTTTCACAGATTTTATAGCTTGCGATGTCTGCTCACACTGTTCTTAACGACCACGCTTTGCTTATTGACACCAGGAGGGTGACTACCATCTGTACCAACACTACCAGAACTGCACAGACATCTTCATTTTACATTCTGTTGTGCTAGTGTCTGAGTGGGGGTGGAGGGGAACAAGTACAAAGCAGATAAATAATAGTGAGAAACATTGAGAGATAAAGAAGAGGTTTCTGTTAATGGTGGGAGTATGTTAGAAGGTACATTTTTGCGCAGTTATTCACACACCTTGGAGCCCATCTCTTCTGGGTTATTACAAAGCAGTCCACAAATCCCACTCGGAGAGAATATGACTACTTCCTACTCATAGAGAGAGATGAAGAATGGGTAACGAGATATTACCACGTCACAATCCAGGTGAAGAGTATTTGGGTGGCTCTCTGTTCTTTCAGTTTTTCGGTGGGTTTGATTTTTTTTAAAAACAAAAAATAAAATTTAAAAAAGCATCATAAAATTAAAAATAACAACTGGAAAAACATTTGCAGCAGATATGATATAAAAATTAATAATAGTCTTAAATATAAAGAGCTCTTGACAACAAAAAATACTTGACATAGACAAAAGGACATCAACAGAGAAATGCAAACAGCCAGTATATATGTGAAAAATATTAAACCAGGAAAATGCACATTAAACAATATATTACTAATACTTCTTCTTTACAACTGGCAAAACAGACCACTTAAACTACCCTAATACTTAGTGCTCATGAGCGGGCAGCGGGATGGCCATACTTTTCTATTACTGGTGGAGACATAAAGTTCTTAAAGGCAATTTTTCAAAATATGTGAAATTTTTTAAATTATTATTTTTAATTTAGTAGTTATACCTTTAGGAATTTATCCTAGGAAATAAGGAGCCATACAGGAATCTCTGTATAAGTTTATTTATTTCAGTGTTACATCTAATACCAATAAATTTTGAAAATACCTTAAATGTTAATAGTAAAATAATGATTAAATCTATAATATATATGTGTATTATATATCTACTAAAGTAAATATTGTCCAATAAGTTTTAATGATCTAGAAAAAAACCTTCACAGTATATGTTGAGGGAAGGGAAAGCAGGATACAACATTATATCTCAATGCAAATTCACTTATAAAAACATAATTCGTGGAAGGAAAAGGCTTCATAGGAAATATACTAAGAGTGGGAAGGGTCTGAGCAGAGGGGAGGAAAGGGGGGAAATGGGAGACATATGTAATACTGTTATATATATATATAATAGGATAATATGCAAATTGGTCAGGACACTGTCATGTAATGACGGATAAGCAGGCTGCGTCCCCGCTCCCTGCACTGGCCTGGAGACATGAGGCTTGCGTCCCCAGCCCCTGCAATGGGCCCTGGGATGTGAGGCTTGTGTCCCTGCCCCCCTGTGCTGGCCTGGGAGTCCGCAGGCGTATGGGGATCCACAGGTGTGCGGAGGTCCGCAGGCCTTCGCCATGGCCTGGCCCAGGGGTCCACAGGCCTTCCCTGGCTCTGGCCTACCTCTTTTGGGCAATTCATCAAGGAGCCCTGGATGGGTGGGTGCGGCCTACCTCTTTGGGGCGATGGATCACGGGGCTCCCGCACTGTGACGGGGCATAGGCCAGGCTGGGGGACACCCCCCCCCCCTGAGTGCACAAATTTTGTGCATCGGGCCACCAGTATGTATGTATATATATATATATATATATATATATATATATATATATATATATCAAGTTTCATTTCTAGGAAGATGATGTAGACATACCCTATTCCTTCTTCTAAGTACAGCTAAAATCCCTGGGCATTATATATATAACAAAGTTAAGAAGACTTTGAAGGATGGAGAGGAGGTACACCAGTTAGGAACCTTGGGACACAAGGAAGAACATGGTGGTGAGGTCCCTGGGTTTTCTTTTTGCTTCATATATCCCATAAGTGACCTGTATTATTTTCCTTTCTCTAAAGAATTTCTTTTAACATTTCTTGCAAGACAGGTCTCAGTTTTTGTTCATCTGAGAGCATCATTATTTCCCCTTCATTTTTGAAGGATAATTTCACTGGAGACAGAATTCCAGATTAGTGGGTTTTTTCTTCCCATCCTTCTAGTCTCTTCTTGCTGGCATGGTTTATTAAGAGAAGTTCAATGTAATTCTCATCCTTGTTCTTCTATAGGTAAGTTAGATTTAATTTTCCCACAGTTCCTGGATATTCTGTTCTGTTTGTTCAGTTCTTTTTCTCCTTGCATATCAGTTTTGGAATTTATATTGACATTTCTTCAAGCTCACTGATTCATTCTTTGGTTGTATCCTTGATAATCCTATCAAAGGCAATCTTTATTTCTTAGAGTGTTTTTTATTTCTAGCATTTCCTTTTGGTTCTTAGAGTTTTTATCTCTCTGCTTACATTACCCATCTGTTCTTGCAACTTGTCCACTTTTCCTATTAGAGCTCTTAGCATATTAATCTTGGTTATTTTAAATTCCAAAATCTATGTTATATTTGAATCTGATGCTTGCTTTGTCTCTTCAGACTTTTTAAAAAAAATTGATTTCAGAGAGAGGGAGGAAAGAGAGAAAAGGAGAGAGGGGGAGAGAGAGAGAGAGAGAGAGAGAGAGAGAGAGAGAGAGAGAGAGAGAGAGAAATTGATCACTTCCACATGCACCCCAAGGGGGGAATGAACCCACAACTCAGACATGTGTCCTGACCAGGAATCAAACCCACTGCCTTCTATTGTACAAGATGACACTCCAACCAACCAAGCCACACCAGCAAGAGCCAAACATTTTTTCTTGCCTTGTCATTTTTTTGTTGATGTATTAGGTAATAGGAATAGAGATAAGTAGGCCTTCATGTGTTTACTGTCTGCTGTAGCTGTAGGTGTCTGAGGCTTCCATGTCCTCCACTATCCATTTGTCTTCCCTGTTGTCTTTGGGTTTCCCTAGAAACTCCTTCCTAAATGTAGTCTGCGCCTTGCATCGTCCTCTATAGATACAGTGTGTGTTGGAGGGAAGCGTTTGATAATCCTGTGATTAGGTCGCAGTCTGTTGGTAGATCTATGTCCCTGGATTGTTACCTTCACAAGTTTTTCTCAGCATTTTACTCCTTATTTGAGACAGGAAGACTGAGGAGGTTGGAGTTAGCTAACTGCCCTTCCTCAGGTCAGATAAGGCTTCGGTAAAATAGTTTTCCTTGAGAGCTTGCCTTTATTACAGAGAACAGAACAAAGAACAGAATTCTCTGGGAGTATTTTGAAATGGTTTATTTTCCCTTCTCTCTGCTGGTAGCAGGAGGGGATTTTTCTCTGTTGTTTACCATGAGACCATGTGGGGCTCCTGGAGGTAAAAGTCATGAAAGTAGGGCCCTCCCTAAGACCTGGCCCCTTGGAGTTTTTAACTTTTCAAGCTAACTCATAGAGCCTCCAGGGATCTGTCAATTGGAGTTAAAGTGCTCTTGCCAGTACCAGCTTCAGCAGCAGGCTTCCACTCTTGGTCTTTCTCCACCTCTCTCTAGTGTGCTGGGCAGCAGCAGTTCTCTCTATGATCTAAATTCTCTGATGGATCCAAGATGAGTTGTTTTTTTGATTTGTTCACCTTTTCTTCTTGTTGTACAGTTGGGAGTCTTAACATCTAAGCTCTCTACCTGTTGGGGTGAAACCAGAAGTCCATAAATTACTTTTTTTTTTTTAAATATATTTTATTGATTTTTTACAGAGAGGAAGGGAGAGGGATAGAGAGTTAGAAAGATCAATGAGAGAGAAACATCAATCAGCTGCCTCCTGCACACTCCCTATTGGGGATGTGCCCGCAACCAAGGTACATGCCCTTGACCAGAATCAAACCTGGATCCCTTGGGTCCGCAGGCTGACGCTCTATCCACTGAGCCAAACCGGTTAGGGCCATAAATTACTTTCTAATGATAATTTGGCACAAGTGGATATCATAGTAGAATCAAGAGATTGAGATTTATTGATCTTAATTATGTTGACCATTTTAAAGAACTGCTTTTAAATTTAAAACGTTAAGACATACATATACTCATTCTTACAACGCTATTTTGTTTTACATTGGTCTTTCATGGAACTGCCCACTGCTTAATAAGAAGGATCTGTAACTATCTTTGATTTTTAAATCTTTGTAATTACATTAAATAGTAGAGGTTTAAAGAATATAAGTATGAACTGCTTTGGGGACCAGCATTTTAGATATATTTAACATTGGCTACCCTGTGATTTGATTTTATTAAACAAAGTACAGCATATTGTGTTTTTCTTTACCAAGGAATGCTTTATAGTTCAGTAATTATGTCATTTGTGCATCATATAAACTCAGCCAGACAGAGAGATTTATATTCATGCTATAATGGTCTTTATCAGACTTGGAAGTTCATATGCTTAATAAACAACTGCAGTTTTATGCTGATAAAAATGCTAAAAATTGGTCTAATTTATTATAATTACCAATAGAATATTTCCTGTAAAATCTAATTGATATTCTGTTCTCAAACTATGATGCATTGTTTTTAAATTATAATTTGTGAAGCTTTTAAGATAGCAAATTTGATTTGAAATGATTATTTTTCTTTAGGTTGATTCCAACTGTAATTGATCAGAAATTATTTATTTTCCCTTTGGAATCTGAGGGTAAACTTTGGCCACCCCAAAGACAGTGTGTATTTCCACATGCCTTTCCAAGAACAAAGGTAGGAATTGAGAAATCTATAGAAACAGAGTAATTAGTGGTTTTCTAGAGGCTGGGAGGAAGGGTGAAGGGGAGTGACTCTTATGAGTACCAAGTCTCTTTGAGGATGATAAAAAATGTTCTGGAATTCGATAGTGGTGACAGCTGCACAACTCTGTGTCTGTACTAAACACCGTCCAGTTGTACTTTTTAGAAAGGAGATTTTAAAGTGTACGAATTATATCTCAATAAGGCGGTTAGAAAAAAAGTTAAGAGTAAAGTTGGGAAATTTGATTTGTGTCTAAATGAGAAAACATGTCATTGTTTTTTCAGATATATTCAGGGTATGGTCAGTTTCTCTGACAAGTGCTTTCTTCAGAAAGCAAAATAAATCAGAACAGAATGCCTTCAGATTTTAAACAGAGTCCTAGAAAGGAAGTTTCCAGGCGGCAAGAATAAAGCTCAGGAGGTGTCTGACTTTGCCTCCTTGGGGTGGTCTTTTAAATTTTCTCCTGTTTCCTCCCTGACTCACCAAGGGTAATAATAGCTCCCTTCCCTTCAGTACCAGGTACTGTTGTCAGTGCTTTGGGAATACTAACTCGTTTAACCTTCAGAATGGGCCTAGGATGAGGTGTTGTTATCATTACCTTCATTTTATTGATGAAGAGACCAAGGTACAGAATGTTAAAGAAATTGCACCCTCTTGCAATCTGGGACCCCTTGGGGGATGTCAGAGAGCCGGTTTCGGCCCAATCCCTGCAGGCCAGGCCAAGGGACCCATTGGTGCACAAATCCATGCATCGGGTCTCTAGTATGTATATAAGATCTTTGGTTAATCTCTTCCTGCCCTCCCCTTTTCCCATGAGAGTCATCAGTCTGCTCCATGTTTCCATGCCTGTGCGTTGAGCATCTGCCCCCTGGTGGTCATTGTGCATCATACCTACCAGCTGGTCGGCTGATCAGCCTGTCGCTTAGGCTTTTATATCTATAGAAGATAGATAGATAATTTATATGCTATAAAATTCAACCTTTTAAAAAGTATTTAATTCAGTCATTTTTAGTATATACACAAAATTGTACAGTCAACACATGGTATCCTTTTTATAATTGTTTATATTAACTTGTATTTTTCTTTCATCACACTTACCACAATTTGTAATTAGATATTAAGTTGTATGGTTTTTTAAAATGTCTGTCTTTCCACTAGATTATAAGGAGGGCAGGATCCATGTCAGTTTGTTCATTGCTCTATAATTTTAGGGGACTCTTGATAAATGTTTGTTGAATAAATAAATGAAACCACCCCAGTAGGGTCTGAGGGTGTACTCGTCCCCATAAAATACTAGTCCAGGCTACACTCCCAAAGCAGCCTACTCCCACCTTTGTCATTGTACTGGGTTTGTCCAGCCACTCCCTGTGGTGTATGTACACTGTGCCAAGGACTGTTAGAGCCACACGGGGATGAACAGCTTGGACTAGATCCCTACTTTCACAGAGCTTGCTCTAGTTGGGGGAGGGGAAACAGCTCATTGATAAGAAAATACCAGGTAATAATAAAGGCTTTGATGAAAAGAGAATGCTGTGATAAATGGAGCTTAAACTTCTTTACTATTAAGTATCTGCTTCAGTTAAATTTGTATTTTTTTTTTTTTTGCCAAGAACTCAGGAGGACCACAGTTGGTCCACAGACAGAAGATTTGAGATCTCTGGTTTACAAAGACAATAAAGTAATATATCTGAAATTAGGACTGTTGTTGAATGTATAATCGCTTGATTCTTCCAGAAGAAAAAAAAATACCATGGCCAGAAATTTACTTTCCTGAAAGAGTTCTGAATCCTGATAAAGATAAGGAATCTAATGTGCTGAGTATAACCCCGGGTTCTTTGAAATGCTGTGAGCATGGGTGAGCTCCATTTAGAAAGGGGCAAGGACTGGTTTCCCATCCCGATTTTACCTCTAGCGCCTGGATCCCTACTGCTGTTTTATCTCTAATATCAATGACATCTGCTTAAAAATGCATAACCGCCCACACGAAGCATAGCCCTGATCTTGCATTGCAAAGTCAATGACAAACAGTGCTGTTTTGCCAGCTGCTCCAGCAGGCCTACTGCACCAACTCAAAAGCTTGAAGTATTAAGCAGTTGTGAAATCCGACTGGGATATTATTACCTTTAATTGCCCACAGCCAACCTTTCAAACTAGGTAAACCCCAGTTGCTTCTTTAAGCTCTGGTTCTCCAAAGTTGATAGCAGTTTTTGGAATTCCATTTTACACCAACACACTTAGAGGAAAAACAATTAGGAATTGCTCCATTGTAATAAAGCATCATAATTAAGAATTGTTTATTAATTTTCTTTTACATTTGAAAAAGCCGTATTCTGATGGCTTGTGTAATTTAGCTCCCTACCAACACCAGCCTAAACCCTCTATGGGCACCTTGGGCACGTGTACTCCTAACAGTCAAGGAAAGGGTTTGAAATAAACACAAAAGATAAAGAAGAAGGAGGGAGAGAAGGAGAAAGGCTTATAGGCCAAGAAAGTATTTGATTTCCTTGTTGTGTCTGGCAAGTTAAGTCTGAAGGCAATTTGAAAATAGACATTTCTAAACTGTTGAGATCAGAGGACCAGCTTGGAAACATAATATACTTGATATATTTGTGGAGCAGGGAAATAAAGCCATCTCACTGCTTGAATTATTCTCTATATTAATTCATAAAATGGGTGCTTTATCAATGAAACACACAAAAACTGTGTGATTGAATATGATGCAACTGGGGTTTACCTAGTTTAAAAGGTTGGCTGTGGGCAATTAAAGGTAATAATATCCCAGTCGGATTGAATATGATTCTTCCATTCTTAGATGGAAGAATCTTTAATTTTGTGAATTGGGATCTAATTGAGAAAGTGATTCTCAAAATCTGATCAAAACAAAAGTTTTGAGGATATCTGACATGATCCTGTTAGAAATAAGGCGAGCCCCCAAGTTCAGGGGTCCTGGTAGAGCACAAACCAGACTCGGGAGCCAGGCAGCAGGCAAACATCTTTACTTCTACGTAGAAGGGTGCGCATACATGGCCTGGAAGCCACATGCATACCTAGCAGGCCGGCTGCCCGGCTTTATAATCCCTGACGCGTGTGACCTGTTCCTCGCTCTTGATTGGAGCTCAGGTGCACGGTCTTTCCCGATTGGCTAATTCAAAGGGAGGGGTTGGCCTTTGCTGTTTCAAGACTGCGGAAGCTGCAAGCCATGCGGCCAACATGGCAGCTGCCAAGTCAGGCAGCCCAAAATGACGGCTGTCTAAACTGTTCTTTGACAGAAAAGATGATTTGTTTATTCTCACAATCCACATGGTGAGAGAGCAAAGAAGGCAAAAGCCAGGGCCAGTAAGGGTTGCTTCAGAGGTTTTCCCTGTGAGTTCATGTCACTCAGCATCAGGGTGGATAAGTTTGCTGATGAGCAGGAGTTGGGTTTTACAGAATGGAGTGGGGAGAAAGGAAGGCCTGCAATGAGCTGGCCACTGTGAGCTCTGTCTTCTCATTAGAATGTAAGCTCCATATTCCCGCCCCCCCCCCCCCCCCCGCTTTTTTATGGCTTAAAAAAAAACCTTTTTATTATGAAAATATTCCAACAAACCAAGAATAGTGTATTAATAACCATTTCTCCTTCACCTAGATTTAACAGTTGTTAACCTATTTTTTATTGAAGTGTTTTAAAATATGGACCTAATGACATTTCACCCCTAATGCTTTAACATGCATCTCTAAAAATGAGCATATTCCTGCTTACCCACAATACCATTATCAAGTCTAAAATATATAAGAAATCCCTAGGTCATATTCAGATTTCCTCAATTATCTCCCAAATGGCTTCTACTGCTCTTTTTATGCAAACCCAGAACTGCTAAGATTTTCCTTGCATTTGATTATTTTATTTCTTAAGTCTCTATTAATCTAAAGCAGAGAGACTATGTTTTGTTCACTGCAATACTCAGTGCCTAAATAGTGTCCAGCCTGGAATAGGATTGCAGTAAATGAAAACATAATGGTTAAAAGTATAGATTCACATCCTATACTTAGCAAGTCACCTAACCTCCCTGTGCCTCAGTTTCTTGTCCATAAAATAAGCACAATAATAGTACTTGTCGACCTCATAGGGTTGTGTAAGGATAAATAAATTCACATATGTAAATGCTTATCACAGTGCCCCACACATGGTGCTATATAAGTGATAATTATTATTTGTTGGCGGATACTGGTTAACCTCTATTAGGTGCCTAATATGTGCCAGGCACAATTTTAGGCATCAGCCAAACTCCTCTGCTCTCATGCAGCTGACATTCTAGGTGGTGTGGGGTAGGCATTAGGAAAACAACCAAAAAGTGACTTGAAAAGTAAATATATAGTACGTTGGTTGGTGAAAGGAAGCTGGGAGGGGGCGGGAAGGGTGTTGGAATGGTCTCGCTTGTAAGAGGATCCTTGAACAGAAATTTGATAGACTTGAGGGGCAAGCCATTGGCCATTTGGAGGAAGAGCATTCCAGGCAGAGGAAACAGAAGATGCAAAGACCCAGGATTAGGAGTGTGAACAGCAGGGAGGCTGAAGAGGGATGGGCAAGGGGGAGAGAAGTAGGAACAGTAGAAGGGGGCCAGATCTTATGGACCACCGTGAGGACTATGGGTATTTCCTGGAGTGAGATGGGAAGCCGTTGGAGGACCAGAGGGCCGACATGGTCTGATTTGCAATTTTAAAGGGTCATTCTGGGTGTCGTGGTGAGAATATGGTGATGTTACAGGGCAAGGGCAGAAGCAGGGAGACCATATCACACCCTCAACAACATTTTGAGGGAAGGAATTATTGGAATCCTCACTTTAAAGACAAGGAAACTGAGGTCTATGGATGATAGTAATTTAAAGCTAAGGAATAGGAGTACTGGGATTCAAATTCAGGTCTCTCTAGCCTCAGAGTCCTGGCTTTTCCTCACCATTGGAAAAAAAAAAATACAAAAACTTGAGCTGTTTTCC